ATTGAGCAATAACCCATTACTCAGAATCCAGAGTCATGCATTTTCAGGTGTAACAAATATAGTTCGCTTAATATTTCCGTCAGGAATAAGAACTATTGAACCAGATGCATTCGATGGCTTACAACATGTTGGACTTTTAAAATTAACTTATATGGACTTATCTTCCCTGCAATCTTACACGTTCCGTGGCTTATCCTATGTGCATTCATTGAATATTCAGGAAAGTGACTTGGGCATCGTTGAGAAGGACGCCTTCACTGGACTTGCTCATGTTGATAGACTGAATATATTAAATAACAAAATCGATCTAATCGAAAAATTATTTCTACGATATGAAAATAGTATAGAGATGCTGAGATTTCATGGAAATCATGTTTTGGAGGCACCTCGTCATGCCAAAGACATTAATTTAGAAGTGAGCTCTATTAGCGCTATCGATAACCATTTTCCTTGTGATTGTCAGGCTCACAATGTATTGGAAAGCGATTTTGTCAATGGAACTATTACCGAGTTTCAGAAAAAGAATTATTGTATCTCTCCAATTGAATACAATGGAAAACCGATGAATTTTGTAGATTTTGGTCTAATTGCCAAATGTCATGATAATGTTGTCCAAGATAATCTGGGTTCTGGAGTTGTTGGAATTTTTACACTGCCAATCACTTTGTTCCTCATTCTTTTGTTCTCCATGAATTTCTTCCAGTAAATTAAGATCAGCTTTATAAAATGCATATTGTTGAAATATAGTTAATTGATGGGAACAGTTTTAGCTATTTTATGATTAAGTTCAAGAATTAAAATTTAATACCATATTATTAATTTGTTATTCTTATAAATTGTCGAATTTAAAAACAAAAAATGAAACAACAATTAATTTCTTGAAATTATTAATCTCTTCGATAAAATTATCGATTTTAGCTCAATATTCGTTAAATATTAATTATTAATAAATAATTATTAATAACTGACATATCGAAGAGATTAGTAATATTTAATATATTTGATATAATACACATTCTAATAATATTTTTCAATGCTTGAATAAAAATTTTTAATACATTTTTTTTTTACTTTAAATTATTTTCATATATATATAAAACATTGACATAATATAATTTAAAATTTTTTCAATCTTATTTTATATAAAACAAAGTAATGACTATAATAATAGCAATTTTAATATTAATGTTTAATATTGTTGCACTTCTATCATATGAAATCATTGTCAAGAAACTTTTTCCATTTGATTATTATACTCGTACAATTTTAAACATACTGAGCTTTAACTAGCCCATATATCTGAGCTAGCAAAATTGCATTAATTTCAAATTTATTCTATAAATTATAGAAACGAATTCACAAATAAATGATTTATTCATTAAATTATTTTTAACTTATCCCTTAAATTTTTAATCTGAAGATTTATTACAAAAGCATCTTTAAAAAATATATTTTTAACAATTTTAATTGTAGATTATTTTTTTTTAAATTTAAACCAATATCAATTTTAATTTTTTACAATTTTCGTATCATTTCATTTACACATGTATAAGAAATTATTTTCTTAACTGTTTTTGAAATATTTGTTAATATTAAGATAATATATATAGTATATTTATTTCGAATATGTTAATTATATTAAAGAAATTTTGTTAAATATTTTATATGATATAATTTTTTATTATCTTTGATTGTGTAAAAACAACCAGAATTAAATAATTTATATCAACGATAATGAAAGTATATAGAGAATAAGAATATAAATAATCAATTTATGTAAAAATTTTTTGGCAAAAAATTTGCATCATTTTGAAAGCAATAAATATAATAGTGCTATGTTCTTTTTTTATGAAAATTTAATGCAAGAATATTTCTTTTAAATTTGTAGATTTGATTTATTTGATTATAAATGTTTTTTTTCACAAAATTTTTTTATTATTATTAATTTTAAGGAATTAAATAAAAACATTTCAAATCTCTGAACATTTTTATATAGTCTTTTTTATGTAAAAAAGATTACTCTAATAAAAAAAATCCAATTTTATCATTTTATGATTTAAATCGTGTTTTTATATAATATTTTCTTTAATATTATTCAAATTTTTAAATCATATAAGTATTAATACATTTTTTATCGAAGTTTTAATTAGTCAAAAAAAAACCTGTATGTATTTAAGTATAACGGAAAAAAAAAGAAAAAAGTTGTTTAAATGTAAAATTTGCATGGCTTTCGGTCAGCATACTAACCGAGGACCAAACTAGCATATATTTTTTACCATCTATTATATAACGAAAATAAACTCTATAACTTTTTCTTATAGTTAGAATAATCTGTATATTAATAAATAATAAAATGATGTATCATTTAATAAATAATAAAAAAAATTAACAATAATGTTTATTATATGAAAACAATAATAAGAAAAATTTTAAATATTTTAATGTAAATATGAATAATAATAATAATTTAATGTAAATATAAAAAATCGAAATAATTTTTATATTCGCTTTTTATTTAAATCACAAAATTAATTTTTATTGTAATTTTAATTATAAACTATAAATGTAAGCACTTCATTTTGGTATAGACTTCACATTAGGTGGGATTATTCTTTGTAAATTTTCTATTTCCATCTTATATTGTACATATGGAATAATTTCCCATTCTATTCGAGTTTGTAAATCAATTGGTGTTATTCCTAAATCTTCCAAAGTTGGTAAAGCAGAATCTATCTTATCACTGATATGATGCTAAACGAAATTTAATGAATATAATTTTTATTTCTAAAATCAATGTATGACTAAATCAATTAAAAACTCTAAATATACTTACACATTCTAATACTTCCCATAACATGTCTGTTGTAGGATATATTGTATATAGATATTCTCTAAAAGAAGTTTTTAACCAAGTATATGGATTATATTTCATGTCAACTATCTTTATGTTGTTTTCAAAATATTTGAATTTTATATCTAACATCCATTTAACTAACTCGTTTAATTTGTACCGTTTTGGTCTAAAATAAATATTTTTAATCTTTATCTTATATATATAAAAAGTTTTAATAATATAACAATATATAATATATACCCAACAAATTGGTAAGTTTTTCCAGCAGTATCAGAATTTCTTATGATTGCTACAATACCTGAAATTACATCATGAATAGACACTGGTTGTTTCTCAGTTTTTTCTCCTTTATCCCATAAAGATAATCTATTGTAAAAAATGAACACATCATTACAATATTGTGATTTTTATATAACTTATATTATATAACTTATAAATAATTATGAAAAATTATTAAATGTACTTATTAAAGTTTAGTCTGTTCTGATCCATATAATGACTTATAAATTTATCCTTGTGTCCATATATAACTGATGGTCGAATTATAGTAGCTTCTGGAAATTCTTCTTTCACAGCAAGTTCCCCTTTCCATTTTGTTTTTAATATCTTTGAACTTTCTTTCAATATGATTGGCTTGAAAAAGAAAATAAGATTTACATCATTATTAAATTGTTATTTTAAATAATATATTATAAAATTATATAATATCATAAAATTAAATATTAAAATTTATATAATAAATTCATAAATTGTAAAAAGTACTCAAAATTTTAATAAAAAATAAAACAATTTAAAAAAATATATATAATTCTAAATATTATTTAATTAATGATCTTGATAAATTTTTTCTATTAATTATATAAGATAATTACTGTAGGTTTTTCTTCCACATTCAAACATGACATATGAATGAAACGTTCCACATTACATTGCTTAGCAAGTTTGGCTAATGTTCTTGCTCCTTCTACATGTACATCCTCAAAACTAAAGTTTCTTGTCTCATAATTTGAACCAATTAAATTAATAACAACATTAGAATATTTTATAGTTCTGATTATGGATTCCTCATCTCTAAGATCAAATGGATGGTAAAGAACTTGTCCAAGATCTCCACCCACTTTTAATTCTCGAATATGATAATGATCGCATCTATGTGGAAGAATAAGCTGTAAGAAAATATTTAGCATAAATATAAGTTCAATCTATAATTCAGAATATTAATAATATTTATATCTTGCCTGGGTTCCAATTTTTCCTAATCTAATACATAATGAAGATCCAATAAAACCACTACATCCAAATACTGTGCAAACTATGCCATTAAATGAGCTACGACCACCAGTACCTCTTTTTAAGCTGGCTGTAGTAGGATTTTTAATAATTCTTGGTTCTGATGAGTAATTATTTTGTATCGCATAACTGGCAGAATATACATTTTGATTTTCTGTATATTAATTTAGTAATTAATTTAAATCAATATTGTTACATAATTATAATAAATATAGATATATTTATAATATATATTATAAATTAATAATTTATATTTTAGCATTGCAATAAGTATACTATTATTATCGAAATATCATTGTGAAATAAAATAATAAACAATTGAAATTAATAAACTTACTTATCGTACGTATGACTTTAGGAATCCAAGCCGCCATGTTTGTCATTTGTTATTTTGTAAATATATATATATATTTGTTTTTATATAGGTTAACTTATATAGGTTAATAAATATTTTTGAATAAAAAATATTGTAAATATTCCATTATTAATTATCCATAAATATTCCAAAATTAAAAAGTGCAACAAAAATATTATATTTTAAAATGTTAATATAATTAAAAATAAAAATAATTGATAGAATATATGAAAATTTATATTAAATAATTGAATAAAAAATTATTTTTATTTTTATAAATTACAATTTATATTTTTGATTTATAATCCTCATTTTATTTATTCAATCTTAATTAAAATTTTAGTATTATTGATTAATTATATATATATCATTTTGATTATAATTTTATATTAAAATTGCAAATATTTCCAACAAAATTGTAATTAACATTCATATAACTATTGTAATAATATTTTAAGGTTAAAAAAATTGGGAAATACAATAAATATGTCATATGCAAAATATAAATTTTATTGTACTTTCTTTTTTTGGTCATAAATTTTGTTATATTGTAAAAACATATAATAATAAAAAATCCAAGAATAAATTATTCCTATAGCACAATATATTGAAGTAAGTGCTAGAGGTAAAAATGGTAATGCTTCTCCAAATATTATTTTATGTATTATGGTTTCATATACTGTTAATATTGGTAAAGTAAATACATATATATATTCATATGAATAAAGTAAATCTAAATTGAATTTTTGACAAAAAGCTAAAAAAATTGCAATTACATAGACTAAAAGTAGCAAAATTTTTAATGGAGTTAAATTATTTAAATAAAGTAGAGGTAAAAGAGCAGTATGTCCAGCACTGCTCAGAATTAAGTATATTCTAGCATCATTCTTGTTTGTTGTTGCCAATACACTAGAAAATATAAAACTTGTTTGGTTTTATTTCATTAATTTTATTTTTTACTTACCACATTGGTATGATAGCAGTTAAAATAGCTTTTTCATGTACATGCCAACCAAATATGAAAGAACTTAAAGCACATAGAACTAAACATCGTACAAACTGTCTTGAATTTGTAAAATATTCTTTTTTATATAATAAACAATATAATGAGGGCTGTAATTCACATAATTTTTTAATATGATGTAATAATATATTAATATACTATTAAATAAACTAATAAATAAACAATTTGATACTTACTATCATTGAGAAAATGGTTAATAAAAATGTTACAATTGGAGTAGGAGTTGGTAAAACTAAGAATGATTGTTCTTGAACTAAACCAGCTGTCATTACTGCTGATCTAGTAATTTTTAGCCATTTTAATTTTTTTAAAATTAAAAATATTATTTTATCTATAGCTATATATAATGCCCAAACATTTGCTGCCCAATATGCATGTACTAAACCTCTTTTGAATGGAAATAACCTTGAAATTACCTAAGATAATTATAATCAATAAAGAAAAAGAAAATATCACATGCAATATAATTATTTACCTGAGGTAATTGCAAAACAAATGGACCAAATGAAATTATCAGAGTAATAAAAACTATGCCTCCAAGTATAAATAAACGTCTAAAAAATGAACCATTGTTCATGCAATATGATCTAAGTAACCATACTATAAACACTGGTGCAACATATAAATAAATATGTTTTAAGTTTAATAACAAGGCAAAGCACAATGTTCCATATAAAATAGATATCTAAAAAATAAATTGTTTAATTCTTTTTTCAAAGTAAAAAATGTTTCAAAGTATTTTTTTGCTTACATACCTGTTTATTTATTTTAGAAACATTTGCAATAGCAAGTAGAAAAATACCAAGTAAGAACCCATTATATTGAAAATGTACATGATCCACTACTAACAATCCCATATTGCATAAAGAAAAAACTATGAACATAACATATTCATCAAAAGTGTTGCAAAATACTTTTCCAATTCTAGAATTTAATATAATAAAATGAATTTTAAAAATATACATATATCTTTCATATATCATTATTATTAAAAACTTACTCTTTAACTCCATAAGTAAATACTAAATCTAAAATTATAACAGAACTTCTTTGAAAAAGTATGGTATTAAATGATGCATAATTCAGATTTTTTACTTTCAGCATGTCATGATCTATAAATCTTGCAATATGACTGAGAAAATATTCAAACCATGCAAATAATGGTGGATAATCTAAAGTCCATTGTGAATTGGCATTCACATACCATTCTTTTAATGGTAAATTATGTGTTATAGCGAGCCAGTTGCGATGTACTTCAAAATCCGTAGAATGACTAAAAATCAAATAGTACAAATAAAAAATAGTATAAAATGCAATAAATATAGTAAAAGCTTAATAATTTGTTTAAATGTACAAAAAATCATACTATACGGGAATTAGAAGTACTTTAAAGCATGTAACGAGAATTAATACATAAAATATAATTTTGTTTATATTTCTTTCTTCTAATATAGAATTTATCTTTTTCGTCCTTTTTAATACAGAATTATTTTTATTATTTTTATTATTCGTAATATTCATTATTAATAAAAAGTATTTTACGTATAATTCTTTAGAAGGTTCGAAAAATTAGCTATTATTTAATGTTACCAACATAGATATTATTAATATTTCCTTTATAATAAATTCATCTAGTAAATTTGATTTTCTAGAGATAAATAGGGAATAATAGGGTTAAAAAAATTTACTAGACCATACATAATTTTTTCTACAAAAAATAGTTTCATTGTTATTTAATTTATAACATTAATTTGTTATTAAATATTTTCTTAATTTTACTATTTTACAATATAACTTAAAATATAAAAAGAGAAATTCTCGTATTATATTCAAAATGCAATTTCACAATATTTAATCCTTTAAGTACCAAAGTAAAAAAAATTAAAATGAAGAAATCAATAATAATTTATAAAAAGCGTTTTAAATTTCTATACATGAATATTTAAATAATTAAATTTATAATATAAATCAAAAACAAAGAATATAATGATTTATCACTTAAAACATATTTACAATTTTTTTTTATACAAACACTATATAAACTTGGCACTAAAAGGATTAAAAGAATTTTTTTCTGATATTTCTGGTTGTTTTCGTATAATTATTATAATGTTTTTTATTCTTTTTAATAAATTTTAAAAAAATATTAATGAAATATGTATATCAGTCAGTTGCAGTGATTAAAGACTGCGCTTCTAATAAGCTTTTTGTTGCAAGAATGGAATTATTCATGATTGGCGTGCTTACTATATTTCCTGACTTTTTGTTTGAAAATGGATAAAAACTATCAATATTCATATGAACGGAATAACTATTTGATTTACCAGTAGGTGAGCCACAATTGTCGTTTATATTCATTTTCAATTGATTTACATTGTTCTGTAGTAATCTTGCATAAAGTTCAATATGATTCTCTCCGCCATTATGAATCTCTAATGTTGGTATCCATCGAAAATAACACTGAGTCCATAGTTCTAGATTTGCAATATTATACAAAGGTTTTATCACAAATTTTTCCTTAGAATCTGTTTCACGGGGATTATAAAAGGGATTATAAAATAATAAAATATCTTGATCACTAAACTGTTTCTTCCAATCCCATACGCTTCGAAGAACAAGTGGCTTTTCTGGATCCTAAAAGACATATTATTTAAATGTTAATACTTAAATATCATTTTTCTTAACATTTATATTTTGATTAGAAAATCAATATATATATTTAAATATTAAATATTAGAAATATTTAAATAAATTACCGTAGCTGCCGCAACTCGATCTTTTTCGCAATTAAAAATGAATGTATCAAAAACAGAAACATGGGCAGCATCCCACAGAGTAGTCAGATACGTCTCCGTAAATTCAAATTCCCCGGGAAATTGTTGACTCAATTGCCAAATACAGTCAAGATATAAAAGAAGCAATGGAGACTATAAAAGTAACAAATAATAAAAAAATAATTGCTAATTTATAAGTAATTAAAATTAAATTAAATTAATATACCTTCTCTGAAGTCCTCTTAGAAATATGACCTAATCTATCACAGAATGGATGGCCACTAGCAACCCATTCCTTTTGTAAAAGAGACTGGAATCCATTTATAGTTCGAAAATAAGGATCAAGTAATAATTGAACTAAACTCGATATAATGCAACAAAGATCTGTACCAGCACCTTCTAAAAATCAATTTTATTAGAATGATTAAAAAGTAAATTATGTTGTATTGTTACCTTGTAATATAACAGAATATCCTAAATGAAGATGTTCACAGGCTTCAACAGCTTTTTGCAAACAATATGATACATACTTTAACCATTTTGTATTTTCTACTAATGAATAAAAATTATTATCTTGTAACCAAAACTGCCGAATATTTTCTGAAATGAATAATGAATATTTATAATATTTATCGAATAAGTTATGATTTTAAAATGATAATGATAAATTTAATTTACCTGGTGAACATAAACAGGCAAATTTTGAGAATGCTACAGCTATTAACTTTACACTAATGCCTTTATTTAATTCTAAAACAATTGGCGGCATTTTGCGAGGATGACTTTTACGAACATTTTCAAACATAATATTTTCTTGTATTCTACTGGTAACTAACGGTGAAAGTTCGGACATTTTTACTAATGCTGCACCACGCGCATTTGACCAAGACCAAATTGGTGGACGGTTGCCTTGAAAGCGCTTAGCTGCATCCATTAACTGATTATCAGTAATTGAAGCTGGTATAATTATATATCGAGATAAACTGTAAAAATACTTTATATTATATATTATTTTAAATATAATAAAGTATTTAATAATTATTTGCATTTACCTACGACAAAGTTTAAAATCTTTATTAACAGTAGATAATCTCCAGAATTTTCTGAATTTTTCATTACATATGATACGTTCCAATTCATTGCACCAATCTGAGATATCTCGGAATAAACGAACAGCTTTATCTAGACTACTATAATATACTTTTCTGAAATCAAATAAAAGAATAAATAATTTTTTAACTTTTAATATTAATTTGAAATATTTATTCAAACTACTAACTGATAATCATAAGCAAAAAGTAATTGGTGTCTGCTAGGAAAAGCATGATGTAATAATGCTTGTAGAAGATTCTTTCCATCTCCAATAGGTGAAAATTTAAAAGAAAAAGACCATGTTCGTAAATTCTAAAATCATAACATATTTTTCAATAAAAATAAATATACAGAAAGAATAATATATTATCTATAACATTTCATAGAAAATAATTACTTTACAAATAATAAATATTCCTTTTATTTTAGATGGTACAATATTTCCAGGTGTTAATTTTCTTTTCTTATCTCCTATAGTTACATAAATATCTTCTATATTTGTTAAACATGTGTCCATATATCCATAAAGATGATTCTGTTGACGAGCTACATCCTATAAATAAAATATTCTATATTTATGTTTTATATATTGTTTTATATACAATAATCAAATAAAACTACGATTACAAATATATTTATTAGAATATTTTGTAAATACTATAATATTTATTTACTTCTCCATTTGTGTCATCAGTTGTAACAAAAGTGAGTTTAAAATTTGTAACAGATAGAATGCCAGATGTTCCTTGATTTAAATCACTAACAGGTGAAAACATAAGAACATTTTCTGCTTTGGTGATGAAGATTTCACCAGGTAACAATTTAATATTATTCTCGGATAACGAATTACGTCGACTAGAACTTAGTGGCTACACATAATTTATTAAACCATTAATTAATTCAATAATAAGTAATACAAATAATTTTGTAAATATTTAAGCTAAATTAAATATTTATTATTCAAAATTAAGGTTATGTTTGAATGTTTACATAAAAATACATTTGATAATTACCTGCATCTCGTGTTCCTCCAGACCAACATAACTTATGAAATTATTGCAGCTTTTACTTTCCATCGCAAACGTTTAAACGATTGCTGTTGATTAACAATAATTATAACTATAGTCATTAAAATCCGTTCGATACACGATTTTACACGTTATTAGTTTTCTTTTAATCTCATTCTTGTTTAATTATGCGAATTATCATTTCTAATTAAAAACATTTTGTTTTTGAATGAAGAATTTATTTTTTAATCCGAAACAAAATTATGATATAATCTCCCGTTTGAACCATCCTGAATAGTTTTCTTTGCAGTTTCTTTTTTGTCTATCGTTTTTGAATTCATTCATTGCTGTAATCCTATTTGTATTTGTCACTGCATATATTCACATCATGTAACGTGGACTTATGACACTAATTTAAAATTAAAATATTTTTTACAGATTGAAATAAAATTGAAAAAAGTAAAAAAGATTAAATATTTATTAATTAAACATTAATTTAAAATTTAAACTATCTAAATTATTATATAATATATAATATATAATGTATAATATTAAAATATTATAAATTAAACTAAAACTAAACTTAAACTAAAACTAAAGTTTAAAATTAAAATATTTTTTACAGACTGAAATAAAATTGAAAAAAGTAAAAAAGATTAAATATTTATTAATTAAACACATTTTAATATTACAAAAATTACAATTCATTTTTATTTAAAATTTAAAATTTTATTTAATTTAAAAAAAATTTTGTTTTTTAAAATTTATTTTATTAATTTTCAATTTTATTTATTTTTTTCATATTAATTTTATTGTAATTAATCATATTCAATAACATTTAAATCCAAACTTTTACTTCTATTTTTTAAATGAACTTGGGCAATTTTCAAAAATTGAGGTTTTTGTAAAAGATGATAGGCAAGAGACATTAAATTCAATGCTTTACTTTGAACAAAAGAAATACCACTAGAAAATAAATCATGGCCTAATTCTAAAACTGTGCCGAAATCGCATTCATCAGCTGCAATTGTTGCCAATCGTATTATTTCTTCTAATTTTGACATTGATTTTTTTCTAACTTCAGGTGTTGAAGCATATTCTATTTCTTTTAAAAGTTTTTGTAATTCATCTATAATAAAAGTAGTCAATTAAATTATAATATATTTAGTTAGATTGACAATAACTTACTGTCAGTTATAGCCAAATCTCTATATCCTAATTGAGTTTTTTTATTATAAGGCACTACAATGCCAGCTTTATGAAAAGTTCTTGTAACAATCTTCTTTTCTCTATCTTGCATGTTTGCTGTTTTTTTTTCTAAAGTTATTTTCTTCTCTTTTGCAAAACTTTTAAGTTTTTGATGCAACATAGTTATACGTGTCTTTTCGAATGGAGTAGCTAATTTCAATTTTTCTTCAAAATATACACTGTAAATAAAAAAGTTATATAAATATTTATATAAACTATATAAGCTATGCAAATTAGTATTTTATTAAAACATTTATTACTTACTCTAATGTACCAAATATATTTTCTGCAACAGGCTCAATTATACAATTTATAGCTGCTTTATTTTTTGCTACAAATACAGGATATTTTGAAATATCATCTCGCCAATATCCAAAATGCAAACCATCCTTATTATTATCTTTGATAATTGTCTATAAAAAAATTTTATAATTAATAACATAATTAATAAAATAATATAATTTTCTTACTTGAAATTCTGGTGGATCATAATAATATCTCCAATGCTTTAACAGTACTTCTTTATTCTCAACTTTAGCATTCATAAATCCCTTTTTAAATATATCATAAGGTCCTACCAGTTGCAAATGAAAATGATTCAATGCATTTAAAGGATCATTTTCACAAATATTTTTACAGAATTCATAAAGCTGAAAAAAATCTTCTGGCATTTCCGTAAGGAACAAATGAGAAATAATTATTTTTGCATTATTTGAAATTTCTTTTAAAATTATATCATTTTCAATATTAACTTTATCACAATCTAATAATGATGCAATGGTAATTAGATTATTTGTATTTTTTATAGATTCTGTATGATTTAAATCTTCTGATTGTTTGATAATTTCACAAAATATATCATTATTTTTAATAATATTATTTTTCACAGTAGTTACAACACTATGCAAATCTTCATTGGTTATTTTATTTTCCTCTTTCTTTATTTTCTTTTTTTGAAAATTATTTGATGTTTCATTATTATCTTTCTTTTTTCTTTTTTTTTTTATTTCTGAATGTTTTGCATTTCTTTTTTTTTCCTATATATTTTTAATAAAAAAATATAATCATCATATAAATAATAAAATATATTTTCTTATCTATTTTTTTATAAATTAATCGAAAATATTGATATATAACAATAATATTAATAAATAATATGCAAATATTTAATTATTAAAATGTGTCCAGGTATGTATAATACGAATATGTGTAACATATTAAATTTTTATAATTTTAATTTTAATAATTTTTTACCGTTTCTTTTGTAGGTGGATGTTTATATTTTTCAAGATGAATTGCATTTTTTTGACAACATTTAGTCCCATATCGACATGGAATTCGTCTATCTTCCATATAAACTTTAAATTGCTCTTCTTTATCGTTTGACATTTTTTATGATTAAATCTAATATAAAAAAATGAAGTTACTGAACAAGAAGATAATAAAATTATATCTATTATTTATTATAACTTTTAATTTTATTTCAATAAATTTTTAATTTATTATTTATTAATTTTAATGTTATTATTGTGATTTTTTTTAATTTTTATAAATTGAATTAGTTTATAAATTAAAAATCATTTTATCATTTTTTCGAAATTTAAAAATTAACATTAGAAATTACATATGATTTTGTAATTTTCATTAATATTGCATCTATAATAAATAATTAATAGAATAAATTAATAAACAATATAAAAATTTTCTCTTTAAAAATAATTTCTATTTATTTATTTTTTTCTTTTAGATCAAAATTAATTTTATACATATAAGCTGGTCTAAATAAAATATTATAAATTATTTTCTAATACTCTCTCGGAAATCAATGAAGATATCGATTTTATCTTTTTCTTAATTCAAGAGATAAAAAGACATTAGAAGTACATCATTTTAAAACTTAAGAATTGTTTTAATAATTTTTTGTCTTATTTCTTCCATGAAATATTTTGCTATAATATAATATAATTTCATTAAAAATATATATTTCGCTATAATTCTGAATATATAATAAAAAAGTATAATTCAAATATGTAAGTATTTAAATGTGATTTAGTTTGATAAAAATTATCTCAATAATAAAAGATTAGCAGCTTTTATTTAAAAAAGTCTAGAAAACTTCCTTTTTTCTCTTAATTTTCTATTATCTCTATTTTGTAATTTCCCTAATTCCATCTAGAAAGAATATTTATATAAGTTAAAAAAAATAAATATATTTATTTATTTTTATATTTATATAATTATTTATATAATTTTTTTATATAATTTATATAATAATTTATATAATAATTTATATAATTTAAATAATTTATATAATTTTTTTATATAATTTATATAATATTTATATAATTGTATTTATATAATTATTATATTTATATAATATATTTATATTATATATAATTTTTCAAAAAATTATATATTTTAAAAAAAAATTTATGTATTTTTAAAAAAAATTTATTGTACTTTAAATGATTTAATATATTATTTAAATGAAGAAAAAGTAAGATCAATATTTTCATTAATTTTCAAGAAAATAGCTTGTAACACATTATTTGAACCATCCTACATATCAAATTTTTGTAAATAAATTAAAAAATATATTAATTAAAAATTTATTTATATATGCACAGATAAATTTCTTATTTTTTTAAATATTTTTTAAATATATATTTTTATACAATATTTTATTATTTGTAAAATATTTTTGCTTATCATTTAAATAAAGAAATTAAATTATAAAATTAAATATAACTACTTTTATAGGTTATGTAATTATTCAATTATATTCATATATTATCATTTAAATAATTAAGATAAAACAAACTTCGGAATGTTTCAACAAAAATTTAAATTTTACATATATTATTTAATATTATAAAACATATATATATATATATATATAATATATATATATATTTAAAATGAAATTACACAATTTTGAAATATTATCGGAACATTACGAGTATCTACGTGGCTCCATCACACGGATGAATTCAAGATTTTCTGATGATTTTCTCAAGGGAAAGCGATAGTTTTCTTGCTGAACAAATTTTCTTTGCGTCTGCCGCGTAACTCAACAATGGAGTTTATATTACAGTGTCAGCGTGTGAGATTTTATAATTTTACTTAAAATTCTAGGTGATATAACATACTTAATAAACGCATCTGTTTTCTTCAAGAAATCAAACAATAAATTTGTAAAACACTTGCTTCTTTTTTACGAAAAAATGTTCGTTCTCGTATAACGCCAAAAGATTACGTGGATATCATAATGGTACGTAACGTAATGTTTTATTAACTTCATTTATAAAAAAAATTTTATTATTAATAAATAATACAATATTTTCAAATATAGTAATATTTTCTTTATTTTTATAAATGCACATTTATATCAGTAAAAATTTATTGATAATTTTATTGATGAATATATATGAATATATAAATAGTAATTTTTAATAATATAAACATTTTTATTATAAATTAAATATTTCAGATGAGGTGACACCTGGTCCTGCCATGCGGAACAGGTCAGTCACTGTTATTTTCGGCTCTCTTGTTCTGTGGGGCTTGATTACATATTTTTTGATTTCTGATCAATCAGTGTCTAAAGAACGGGATATAGTAAGTCAATAAATTAGAAGAATATATGAAATTATTACATATTAAATGGTATTTTATTTTTAGGCTAGAATATCAAATCAGATTAGTAAATTGGAAAGAAGAGTGAAACAAGAAATAACATTAAATCAGGAACTTCTTGAAGATATTAAAGAAGATAAACAACAAAAAAGTATGGTATAATTCTTTTTCAAAGTGTAACATAACTGTTAATTGAATTTAATTTTTAAACATCTAATTTATAATTCTTAATTTTTTTTTTGAAATAGAAAAAGTTGATATTATAAATACAAATGCATATAAAAAACAAAAAGATATAAATCATGTGAATCAAGATAAGATTTTTCTTGAAAAAGAAAAAGCAGATACAGAAAAAAATAATAAAAATGCTCAGCAAATACAAATAAATTCGTTGTATTCAGTAAGTATTTTAATATAATAATCTGAATAATAATAATAAAATATAATCTAAATATAATAATAATTATTAATAATAATTAAAAATAGTTAACAAAATTTAATAATTTAATAATAATAATTTTACTGTTTTTATTTTTAATAGAGTGAAACTTCTTATAATGTTCCTATGAAAGGAAAGTTACTAGATGGATCTCCAATAATAGCAATTTTGGTGTTTTCTTGTAATCGTATTACTGTACAAAGATGCCTAGATCAATTGATCAAACATAGGCCCAGTATAGAACAATTTCCAATTATTGTCTCAGAAGATTGTCAACATCGACAAACTGCTGAAGTTATTGCTAGATATGGAAATCAAATAATACACATACAAGTACTATATAATATTTTTTTCTTTTTTTAATAATTCTAAATTAGAACACAATAATTATAATATAAAATATGCTTCAGCAACCTGATCAATCAGATATTGAAGTACCTCCAAAAGAGAAAAAATTTAAAGGGTATTTCAAAATTGCACGTCATTATGGATGGGCTCTTAATTATGTATTCTTTCAACTTAGATATGATACTGTGATAATAGTTGAAGGTATATTATATTTTTATATTTATAATTATTTCTTTTTGTTAAATTGTGTTAAATTGTTTCATTGAATTTATTTTTCATTTAGATGATCTGGACATTGCCCCAGATTTTTTTGAATATTTTTTGGGCACATATCCTTTATTAATATCTGATAGTTCTCTATGGTGCGTATCTGCATGGAATGATAATGGTAAAGCTGGTTTAGTTGATGAAAAAGCAGCAGATGTATTATATAGAACAGACTTTTTTCCTGGATTAGGCTGGATGTTAACGCGTCAATTATGGACAGAACTTTCACCGAAATGGCCCAAAGCGTAAGAGAATGAAAATTTTATTATTACATATATTTATTTTTAAGTCCATAAACTGATTTATTTATTTTAATATTTAATTTATTTATATTAGATATTGGGATGATTGGATAAGACAGCCTGAACAACGTCGAAATAGAGCTTGTATTCGACCAGAAATATCTAGAACTAGAACATTTGGAAAAACAGGAGTAAGCAAGTATGTGTGTATTTAAATTAATATTAGATTCAAATTATAATTAAATAAAAAAAACAAAAGATTTTATATTTAATTGGTATATTATTTGCAGTGGAATGTTTTATGAAAGACATTTAAAATATATCAAACTAAACACTGAATTTGTGTATTTCACAAAAATGAATTTAACTTATTTATTAAAAGTAAGAAAAATGCAATAATTGTGTTTAATAATAATTTAGGCCTGATATTATGCAAAGTTATATAAGATTAAAAATGATATTTATTTAAAATAAAATTTTTAGGACAATTATGATATAAATTTCGTTAATGAAGTATATCAATCAACGGTAGTAAGTTTTTCAGAATTAAAAAGTGGAAAAGTTGTGGCACCTGGTACTGTACGAATTCCTTACTATTCTAGACAAGCATATAAAAATACTGCTAAACAATTTGGATTAATGGATGATTTTAGGGTAATTATTATAATTTTTATAAAAAAGTTTGTATTATTATTTGAATTAATCAGAAATAATATCTACTATAAATTCATTTGGATAAGTAAATTGATAGAAATCTAAAAAAATAAAAAGTTTAAATTATGTTAAAAAAAATTTCATGCAATCATATTGTAGCATATTATATTAATAAAAGATATTGATATATTTATTTAAGATCTTGTTATATTGTAGGTTATTATTATATTTATATTATTTTACAATTAAAACAATTTTTGGATTTAATATAATTTTCTCTAGAGTGGTGTACCAAGAACTGGCTATCGTGGAGTGGTTACATTCTTTTATAAAGGAAGACGAGTACATTTAGCACCTAGTGCAAATTGGAATGGTTATGATATAACATGGAGCTAACAGAAGATTCAATATTATATTAGATGTAAACAACTAATTGCTTCCAAAATGTTGATTGAAATCGAATGAATATTTTAATTACATTGAAAATATGTGACACGAACGTTTATTAGTTATAAAGTATTATTACAAGTCGAATGTGTCAATGAATTCATAAAGAATAACTTCTGCTTGTAATTTTTCTTGTAGAAAATTCCACAGCAAAATTCGAATAAGCATTGTTATGTAATAAGAGATTTGCATAGTGCCTCAAAACTCATACCCACCGTTTGTATACAAAGTGCAATGCGATTATGATATACAGGAAAACTACTTCGAATATGAACTTAAAAATGTTAAATATGATAGAGTAGTATTCCAGAATATCATGTTTATAAAGTATTGTATACTAAATTGTGCAAAATGACTGATAAAAAGGATTTAGATTATTCGTGCAATCTGGTTTTCATATTTTTTTTTATTTTATTTAATAAATCTAAGTTGATAGTTTATTAATAATGTAATA